GTATTGGTAATGATTGACAATTTTGATAAGAGTTATTATGTCTAAAGGTTTGTATATAAAAATAAACAGTGAAGCGTTTGCTTTTTACAGTTGTACAACGAATTTTCATCACGTAAACTCAAGACTACTACATTATATACATAAATTGAATGAAAGGAAATAAATAGAGCATATACCAACAATATTATACTCATATAAACATGATGGTGTATATTACATTCAGAAAACGAATATTTTTGATCAATGTTGTATCGTGCACACTGTAACACATTTCGCTAAATTTAGTTTCTTTACATTTGACTGTATATGAAAGTGTATGAATATTAAAATAAGACTTCATTTAAAAATGGCTTATAACACGTGTTTCATATGAAAGCACACACGATTGACGCTTGTGATAAAAAAATATTTATAGACTGCGTAATAAAATTGTATTACTTCAACGTTGTATTATTAAAAAAACAAATTGGTTTTTCATAATTGTATTGAGTTTGCATCGTCGTAATATTAAACAACTCATTTACTAACATGCAAAAAACAATGACGTTATGAATCGTATATATGTATACATTAAGCATGGATTCAAACCTCTTAAATTAAGTTTGAAGCTGATAGTTCTAAGATGTTTGGTTCGAAATCGCAATGTTGATGTTAACATTTCCCTTAACATATATTTGAAACTTCATAAAAGAGTTATAGATAGTACTACTTGTAATTATGTAGTATTTCTTTTCAACATTACAGGTACAAAATGGTAGAGAAGATACAGAGTTTCATAAGTTATAAACTTACATCTATTATTTTAACTTAATCCTACTTATATTACAAGTGAGAAAGTTTGGATGTATTGATGGATGGATGGATGTTTGTGACAAGTAAACGCAAAAAATACTGGTCGGATTGGGCTGAAATTTGGTGTGATGATAGCTGACATTCCCGGTTGACATGAAGACACATTCTGATTATCAAAAACCCTTTCGGGCTCTAATAGTGTAGTAATTTAAAATCCAAATTTCTCCATTTCCTAAAAAAACTCTTATAAGTGTAAAACTTGGTACGTATATTGAGTTTTACTTCCGGAATAACATACTAAAAGTTCTAGAAAAAATACTTGTGCTACGGCCGCTATCTTGGAAAATGGCGCCCAAAAGACAGTTTTTTCCCGATTACTCAAAAACTATTCATCCTATAAAAAAAAACATTAAATGTAAAAAACGTTCGCCAAAATAAGAGCTACAACTTTGTATTAAGGGTATTTCGATATAATTAACCGTTTAGCCATAAAATGCAATATTTAAAAAATAAATTTGAAAATTCCTTTTTTCTAAGAACATTTTTTGCGTCGTGATGAAAAGTATCGTTCTTAACACGTACCGAAAGTTATTTTCTGGCACTTCCTCCATTATTCCCGTCCACGGCTTAACAACAGCCCTTGCAAAAACACCTATTATATGTAGTGGTAGTTATCTTAGTAAATGGATATTGAATTTTACCAAAGAATTAAGACATAAAAAAAATTAATCAGCAATAATATGTTAATATTGTATTTAGTAAAAAACAACCCTCTATAATACAATTAATTATTTTTAATTAAAACACTTATCATTGCTTACTGTTAAATGTTACTGTTACATTACTGTTACTGCCCCAATCTCATTCATTATCAGACTGAAGCTCTAATGCTTGGCCAGAGTTTCCGCATGACAACCCTTGACAATGTCGACACATGGCAGAACACTGAAGCATAGACCTACGACACTGACACCTGTTGGTACAGTTGGTCTTGCAATCGCAGGAAATAAGTTTTAGCAGCTCAGACGGAGCAGGACTTTTTGTTATGAACATGGGAATTAAAGTACTTCCAGTTTTCATCCAACCCCAGTCAGAAGTCCATTTGATTCTCTTTCCATTCCTAGATTTGTAAATACACACGATAGGAATGCTGAACTGCTGCATCACTTGTGGGGGGTAAAGACGCCAGATTGTAAACAGTTCAGTTCAGTTTTTATCTGGAAACAATGTAGTTATATCTGAAGTACCGTAAGTCATCTAAGGTTGTACTATTTGATCCACTGTATAGGCGAATTAAAAACTTTTCTCCTGCTGCAGATATCTCTGCTTTTGTTGCACCTAGTCTGGTAAAAACTTTCATGTCTTCCATTAGAGCACGGTCTTTTTGTACAAGTTTCAGGGCATTTATTTTCCTTTTTTTAAATATAGCTTAGCTCGTGTCACAACCTGTTACAGCGTGTACTAATAGAATAACTTCACCGAGTTCTCCCAGTACGGTTTGTTGTCTTCATATGTTGAACAGAGTTTCTTTTGTTTTGGACCTAGCTGGGCGCAAAACATTACCTTGTCAGTTATCGAAGCAAATGAAGTTAATAGAACAAGCAGATCGGTGTCTTGGCCCACAACCACGACTGTTTCACCTTTCATTGCTTCCTCTAATGCAGTTGACACAATTAAGGAATCAGCATCTGAAAATGCCAAGCGCACATTAATGTTGTTTTTCAAGCACCTCTCAGCGAGCATTTCTACGAAACACTTTTTGTTTCGATTGTTTGACAACTCTGCCTGTGTTGTTGTAGTGAAATTATTTCCTAGTGGTTGAATTGTAGCAGAGGTTCTTCTGGAAGCTCTTCGCTGCTGTTCACAGCATTTAATTGTTGCCTGATCAGGATATCCATCAAAGACCACCACGCACCTATCCTTCAAGTGTGACCGTATATATGAAATGTAACAATTAATAACGTCTCCGTAAGTAGCAGGTCGTGGCCATTTTACACTGTGCAAAAGATGTCCACCATCTACAATGTACATAGGCCTACAGTTATCAGGAATGTTGATTGATTCCTCAGGTAGAAAGGCTGAAGGTGGAGATTTTATTCCTTTTCTCATTGATCTTCGTCAAATAAAGAAGGAGGTCTCGGTGCAAGTTCAAATTTGAAACACTCCTTTAGCTTTTCAGGTTCATTTTCAACACATATAATCCTGTTGAAAAGCTGCTGCGTATTCACGATGACAGAATCGTCTCCCAATTTAATTGACGAATTAACCGTTGCGAGGGATTTAACTTAGAATTTCCTTTTGATTGTAATTGAGCCAAAATTCTGTCCAGTCATTTCCCTCATTGACTGTTCAAATCCTTAGCTTTATCACATGTAACTGAAGCATCGCCTACCAGACCAGAGGATAAGCTTACTAATTCCCCTGATTCTTGACAACATGGATTGTGTTCCGATAACCAGTTACAGAACACTTTCTGATCTTGTATCTCGATTTTTCCTGGCCGGGTTTTCTTCTGTATTATTATTTAGCTCAAACGTTTTCAGATATTTGCCACAGAACCTTTCAACCGCTCTTGTAATCTCTGTGCACAATGGGATGGACGAGGTCCATCGTAGAAGTGTGTTTTGTGTTATTCCCCATCCATGGGTTAGGCCCCCAATCGATTTCATAGGTCTCATCAGTGATTTTTCAATGACCATATCTGGCCATGTACCAAACCAGTATCGAGCAGAACGTCGAATCCTGAAAACCCCATCTTGAGAAAAGCGTTCAAAATCTTCTTTTTTCATCTTCAGTGGGAGCTCAATCATTGTTTGAAGGTATAGATGAGCACTTTTCGCATATAAGTGATGACCTGCAGCATGAAAAAAGGTAATATGCTAATAACAGTATTCAAATGTAGATCAAAATCTCCAGTTCTTTCAGCTTTAATAAATTATATTACAAGGATAACCATGTTCATATGCTGAATCCAAAGCTTAGCTGTCCTACTGGCCTCAGATTCATTCTTGCAGGTCACAAGAACTTGTTCCACTATATTACTTACTGATTCCAAAGTGAAAATTTCATCTGGTGACATTTCATTTGTTATCAGTTTTTCTGAGTTTGTTATTACAGAGTCTAGGACCTGATTTGTCAGATTAGGAGACTTGTCTATTAGACATTTAAAGAGAGCAACCTAACATACATAAAAAAACATGCCCTGAAATCAAATGAGGAACAGTAGCTTTGGCATACACAATTCCCCAAAGTTCTTCAATGCCACTTCCTTTCATGATACTTCCAATACAACCCAGAAAACTCATGAGTAAATGAAAACCTCCAAGTCTAACAATGACAGAAGACAAAAGGTTGTCATTCTCTGCTCCCTCAACCACTTCGCAAGCCTTAATGAAAAGCGGTTGATCAAAGGTAACTATACAGCATGAGTTTCTTTTCTTGCACTCAGAAGCAGCGTCCGTCAAAGCTGAGTTTATTGTTGTCATGTTACTTGCATCTAGATTTATGAACGGTACTGGAATGATTTTTGATGTATGATAGCTTCCAGATTCTTTCATGGCTTCCTGCATGTATCCATTCCAGAAAGGGAGACACTTTGTGGAGTTTATCCAGCTTGTGGAGAATCCAGCAATCCAGTGGAGGTTCAACTTAAACCCATTTCTTATCACATCAACGTCGTAACTTGATACATCGATTGATTTAATTTCTAAGTTCTGAACCCCAAGCCTGGGTGATTTCTTGTAGTGCCATTATATAGGTATAGCATTTATAATGTGATTAATATTCTTCTTAGTATCACGAATGAGAGGAGGGGAAGTTACAAAAGCATTAGCTGGCGTTACACACTTGATTCCACCAAGTATATGGATTGTTCCATGTCCATCGTTCTAGTGTTCACATCCGCATTATCGAAAACAAATTGTGTAAAGGCATTTTCAGTTATTTCTGGTTGCACAATGTCATTTGCTGCATTTAAGTATGCCACTGTTTCATTGTATGAAGCACAGAGTATAGTGAATCCGTGGATTAGTTTAATTATGTTTGGTTTTCCTGCTTTAAATTAAGTTTTAAGTTAATAAATGTAGAATAAATAAAGAGTTAAAATTGTATCAACTTTCTTTCTTTAGTATTAGTTTATTTACAATCAATTATTTCCATGGAAACCAAAAATAAAAACCAGCTGTGTCAGCACACTCCCACATCATTAGTTAGTTGTTCTGGGCCCCTTTTTTCTTTCCGGAATTCACGTCAGAGACTTCAATGGGATACAACAAGTTAATAGGTCTGGTGATGTATTTCCCAGATCCTAACTTTAATTTGGCACTTTTTACGTTTCCATCAGCACTGACGTTAAGGACTTCTATTTTCCCAAGTCGCCATGTCCCTCTGGGTAATGTGTCGTGAACATGAACTACATCACCAACTTGTGGATGTTGGGTTGACAGAATTCTTCCTTGTTTGATATTATGTTGAGTTCTCTCCCTTAAACTCAACAGATAGTCTTTCTTCCAAATCTTCCAAAAGCTATTTAAGTTGTTGGTTCCCTTTTTCCACATCTTTAATAAGTCCGATTCAGTCACTTTAGAAATAAACTCCATGTCGTTTTCTTGACATTCATTCAAACTATTTACAAAACCATTTTTTCCATGGAAGTTAAGGAAGTGGCCAGGAGTTATAATAAAGTCAGTCAAACTTTGATCTGAGAAAGATACATAAACTAGTGGTCTTGAGTTGACAACAGCTTCTATTTCAATCATCACAGTGTCGAGTTGTGATTTAGTCAGAGTAACTGAACCAATACTCTTTCTTAAACATCTCTTTATCAAAGATATCAACCTCTCGTGCATTCCTCCCATCCAAGGTGCAAACTCTGGGATGTAAGTAAATTCGATGTGGTTTTCACTTACATAAGACAGTAATTCTGGTGTATCGAGATGTTCAACAAACATATCATTCAAGAACGAGGAAGCCTTCTTAAACTGAGTAGCGTTGTCCAAGTAAATCTTCCTCGGAGTACCTCTTCTTCCCACAAACCTCCTGAGAGATAGTAAGAATTCTTCTGACGACAAGTTATTGGTGATCTCTAAATGAACAGCTCTCGTGACTAAACAAGTGAATATGCAACCGTAAACTTTTGAAACTTCAACTCTAGAAGCTTGAAAGGATTTAATGTAGAGAGGGCCAAAGTAGTCAAGTCCTGTAAATTGGAAAGGTATACTTTCAGTCACCCGTTCTGTTGGAAGCGAGGGTATTTGGGGCAGCTTGTATGGTCCACCTTCGTATTTTAAACATTTCAAACATTTTCGCAAAGCTCTGTTGACTTCAGCTCTGCCATGGATTATCCAGAAGGATTTCCGAAGTTCCGAGAGAGTTTGTTGCACTCCCATGTGAAAAATCTTACGGTGACACTCTTCTATGAGCAGTTGAGTAAATAAATCGTTCTTTGGTAGAAGTATAGGGAACTTGCAATATTCTTCAAGGTCTGCATTTGAGATCCTACCCTTACATCTGATAAGTCCATTCATATCAACGAATAGGCCAAGTTGATTCTGCAATCTATCATACCTACCATCTCTTATATTACTTAGTGTTTCACTAAAACAAGTGTTTTGAACATGTTTGATCCACGATAAACGAGCATCTTTGAGTTCTTCAGATGTAGGAATAACATGATTTGGTTGTTTATTCCGTCTGCATCCACTTATAAACCTTTTACAAAAAACTGTTGTCAAAATCAGTTTCGAAAGTAATGAAAACCTTTGTATATCTATGCCAAAAGGACTAGTTTCACTCACGTCTTCGGTCTTTGTAGTCAAGGTGACGACGTTTTCTTCAATAGTTTCAACCATATCGTCTTCAGTTAATGGCTTGTTAAAATCAGAAGACCAATCCGGCCACAAGTCTTGACTACAAGACAGCCATTGTGGACCTGACCACCATTCATTGCAGTGTTTCAGATTATCCACCATTTTACCTCGAGTCGCCATATCAGCTGGATTTTCGTTAGTAGGAACGTATCTAAATTGCGTCTCGGTGTTGGTTTTGATCTCCATTACTCTTCTCTCCACAAACTTAGGAAGCAGCTTTGTTGTGCTAATCCAACGTAACACGCATTGTGAATCAGTCCACAGTATCTTATTTACAACAGGAAATTTTAAGGATTCTTCCACAAAACGTAATGCTCTTGTTCCAATCAACACTCCTAAAAGTTCGAGTCTTGGAAGGGTAATTTTCGGCTTTGACTTTGGGGTTAAATGGCTTTTACAAAACATGAGAGTCACTTTGACAGTCTCCTTACTAATTAATTTGATATACACAGCACACGAATATACATCCTTTGATGCATCCGTAAAACAATGGAGCTCTACATGATCTGCTCGTAATCCTGCGAATCGAGGAATAGAAACTTCAGTTACTTTAATAATATCATCACATATAATATTCCATTCCCTACATTTAGGCTCATCTAGTAATTCGTCCCAATCCAAATTGTCTTCCCACAACTGTTTGAGAAAGATTTTAGCCTTCAGTGTTACAGGGGATAATAACCCTAAGGGATCAAAAACGGATGATATAGTACTTAAAACTTGTCTTTTTGAAATAGGTTTGTTTCTGTCATTGTTAACAGGTTTTATGTGAAGATTGTCAAGATTGGTGTTCCATCTTAATCCAAGAACATTAACATCAGTAGGATTCTCAGTTGTAGTTTTTTCCATTGGTATTTGTGTCATTAGTGTCTTTGAGTTTGAAGACCAACATCTAAGGTTCATGTTAATATCAGAGAACAAACTAGAAGCAGTTGTAAATAGTGTTGTGGCCTCTTGATCTGTGTCACATCCGGTAACCACATTATCAACATAAAATGAAGACTTCAACCTTTCATTAAGATTATCAAGTTCACAATTTGACAAATGATGAAAAACAGTAGCACTGAGTAAAAATGGACTGGATATGATTCCAAACGGAACCCTACAAAATCGATACTCCTCAATATTATCCTTAGTAGGTGCTGACAAAGGATCTTTGAGCCACAGAAATCTAGTTACATCTCTATCTGGAGTTTGAAGATTTATTTGAAGGAATGCTTTCTCAATATCAGCAATAATTCCAATAGCATTCATTCTAAAACGTAAAAGTAAATTACATAGGTTTTCCAAAATTACAGGTCCACGGTAAAGACAATCATTAAGACTATTGTTGCCTTTTCTGGTTTTGGCTGACGCGTCATACACTATCCTAAGTTTAGTTGAGGTTTTCGACTCAGTGATAATAGGGTGATGAGGTATATAGTGAAGGACTCCATCGTTTCTGTCTGAAAAACTCACTCGTTCGATTATACCGTCTTTCAATTGGGTTTGAATTACCGAGTCGTATTCACATAGAAGATTATGTTTGTCTGAAAGTCTATCTGTTAAAGATTTCAAACGACCGAGAGAAAGATTGTAGTTTGTGGGTAAATTTGGAGGATAATCTTTCCAAGGCCAGGAAACTGAATAACGACCATTCTCAAATTTAACAGTCTCATTAAATTTAATCAATGCGATGTCATCATCTTTCACGTGAGGGTCATCCTTAATACCAATAGTCTCTAATTGCCACAAGTTTTTGATGTCGTCACCTTCACAAATATTGATATCTGGCTTTAAAGTTTGTGGTGACCTAGGAAATAAGTTGTTGGGTTTTACTAGAGTAAGAAAAGATGACTCGTACATCAGAGGGAAATGATCATTGTTATCGTTATGCCTACCAGTTACGATCCAACCAAATTTGCTATTCACTAAGAATAAGCCTGGTGAAATTTCTATCTTCTGACCCTGAATGATATCAAAATAATAATCGTTCCCTATTAATAGATCAATATTTTGTGAAGTAAACTGGCCGTCTGCTAACTTTAATTTGGGATAGGAGGAAGCAATTGTATTTAAGTTGATATTGGTACTAGAAACTACCTTCCCAGTGATATGTGGAACAATGTTTACTATAATATCCATACATGTGTCATCGTTCAGCAGTAATCGAACATCTGTTACTTGAGTCTCAACAGTTTTAGATTCACGGTCGCCGAACGTAAATAAAGACAATGATTGACAATATTTACTATTCAAACTCAGTTTAGAAGCCAAACCTTTGGACACATAAGACCTCTGACTACCACTATCAAAAAGAACACCACAACGCGTTTCTTGTTTAGTATCAGCATTACGCAAAGTAATAGTTGCAGTTTGAAGAATAACACTCTCCGACATAGAAATTAAAGCAGACTCTTCGGTATTTATAGGTACCTTGCTCTGGTTGAAGTTACTTGCAGGCAAAGCTTTGGCATGATTAGTTGATCGGGTGTCTACTTTGATGGTGTTTCTAGAAATTTGGTCTGTAGGAAACTGTTTGGTACATAAGCTTCTATTGTGATTATTCTGCTGTTTACAGTAAACACACCTTTTATGTGATTTACAAAATTTCACAGTGTGTCCCTTACTTAAACATACGTAGCACCTACCTTGAATTGCTTTCTTACGTGCCTCAGCAGATTGATATTTTGTACATTGGTCATTCCAATGTGTTCCTTCACAAAAAATACAATTTAATTTATCGTTTCCCACGAGTGAGTGGGTAGTTGTCAACCTCTTAGTGTCCGCCTGTGGATTGGGAACAGTAACAAAACTATTAGAGTAAGATGAAGTGCTAGGTGTTGAGGTCGTCAGTTGCTCTGCTTTCTCCCGAATCGAAATTAAGTTATTTACAAATTTGCACAAAGTTTTAACATCCAATTCCCCAGAAATATTCATTTCTTCAACTTTCAAAACAATTTCATAGGGCAGCTTACTGAAAATTTGAGAAACAAAGTAGTTAGAAGTAACGTCTTCACCTAAGGCTTGAAGACAACGCATATGTTTCTCAATAAAGCCCTATATCTTTAATGATTATTATGTTATGTTTTGATATGAAAACAGTCGGTAACGTATACTGGCTTTCATGGAACATATTGATTATTGGATTTTTAAAAGTTTTAGGTACCTATAGATTATCAATCAATAAAAAATATATTTTTTTGTAATTTGTTAATTTAGAATAGTCCGACAGCCAAACAGGGGATTTCCCTTGAACCTTGTTTTGTTCTATTAAGTTTTTTTTTATTGTTGATATTTAATTTTGGTAGTATTTAGATGCAGAAAATAGCGGGTACTTATAAAGTACCTTTGGGTAACTTCTAGAATTTGAGATAATAATTGTCCATATTAATAAATAATTCGATTGATTTAAAACATGGTAAATAAGCTATAAACTACGTGTTCTTAACCCGAATATAATGAAATTTGGTATGAAATCTCGTTATAATGTTACTGATAAATTTACCAGATAATAGCCATATCAGGTGAGCCGTTTCAAAATGGCGGCGGAAAACTATGTTTTACCTCTAAAAATACATGTTTTGCCCAGTAAAAAAAACTTGGTATGCGACCTTGTTCTATGTTACCTCCAAGCAAACAAAATATAAGTTTGGCCAATTTAAACATGAGCTTCTTTAAGTTACTAGAAGAAAAAAAAAATACTAAAAACTATTTAGTTCTTGTAAAATTGTAACTTATATAATACATGTAAGAATTGAACGAATAGCTATTCCGCTTATTTTAAAAATATATTTTTAATAAAATGTTAGTAAGCTTGATAACTTTGATCATTCTACTTTGTCTAGGTCTTAACTGTCGTCTTCAGTTTGTCTATTTCCATTCAAACAGGTTTTATGTCCACAATGGCAAAATACTGTGCAAGCTAAGCCTGAGCTCACGCAACTACATCTTTTTGTACGACACGGCGTTTCACTATCGCACTAACATTTTATTAGCTTCAGAATTTCTTTTGGAGCTAATGCAACATTTTCCGGCACACCTATGGGCCTAAGTACTTTATTGATATTGTCTTTGTGATAACCAAATTCTTCAGGGTCTATCGAAAGAGGTTGACTCAAAGCATTCTTCCAGATTATGGTTTGAAGGTGTGCACGTTTCACGTTTTCCATGAAAGCTTCATTTGTAGGTGGCAGTGAACACAGTCGTGGAGGTTGCGAACAACTATTACGGCCCATCTTAGTGGACCGCGCCTTGACTCGCGCTTCTGAAGTCAAATCAAATCAAATCAAATCATTTATATAAACAATGCATAGACAAAAGTCACAAATGTCAAAATAAAAGTCAAAAAGGAAAAGAATACAATTTCAATGTAAATAAAACAATAAGTAGTATTACCTCTTAGTGTACAAACCTGGGCTCAACTTAGATCACTCAAAATGTAGTTTTCCAAATTGTTATGCCGAATCGGTTAAATCTGAAACTTTTGATGAATACGGTCTTTTTTTAACTAGCCAATTCTTCAAAAATATTTTGAATTTAGTGCCTTCTAATTCCTTTATATTGTGGTTGAAATAAATTAACCCCATCACAAAAGGACTTCGGCCAGTTTTGTTCAAATTCCTCCTCACACGGTGGAAATCATCCTTTCGTCTCGTTTCGTACCTGTGGATTTGACT